CGTGTAACAAGTTTTTTCATTCCGTCACTGAAAAATTCTTCCGACTTGTCTCGAATCTAGGTCTTGGTAGCTGCCTTCACCTCATCGTCCAAGGTGTAATGATTACCCTTGAGGTTTCTCTTGAGTAGAGGGAAAAAAATAAAAATCGCAAGGCACAAGATCGAGGGAATAAGGAGGGCATGGAATCGGTTCAAACTTCAGGTTTCACAGAGCCTCTCCAGTTGCGCACTAGGTGTGTGGACGAGCATTGTCATGTTTCAAGATTATTGGCGCCAATTGATTATTTGTTGTGTTAGAGGCAGCCTGGCGCCAATAATCTTGAAACATGACAATGCTCGTCCACACACCTAGTGCGCAACTGGAGAGGCTCTGTGAAACCTGAAGTTTGAACCGATTCCATGCCCTCCTTATTCCCTCGATCTTGTGCCTTGCGATTTTTATTTTTTTCCCTCTACTCAAGAGAAACCTCAAGGGTAATCATTACACCTTGGACGATGAGGTGAAGGCAGCTACCAAGACCTAGATTCGAGACAAGTCGGAAGAATTTTTCAGTGACGGAATGAAAAAACTTGTTACACGTTGGGAGAAATGTGTTAGCCTTAACGGTGACTATGTTGAAAAATAAATATATGATTTTGAAGCTTAAGAACTGTACTTTAATGTACTTTTACCTCGATCTTGATATTTGTTTTTGTTCGTGTTCTATAAGCATGTGTGCATTACTTTTCAGCCTACCCTCGTAATTTACAATTATGAAATTGTGTGCATCGCATCAAAAACTATGATCTCACATTTAAATTCTGTGTTTTGTTCCCTATCTAACGCTATAAAATACTTCTGGATTGACGAAAGTGCGTTGCTTTATTTATTTTAATGTAATTTGATCCGAAAACGCAAAAAATAAACACATCAAATTTCCACTCTGTAAATCATCTCAGGTTTTACGCATTGACATCAGGTCTGTTTGTAACACGTTCTTCCTCCAGGTGAAGTCAGGAGTTCATTATTTTCCCAGGGAATTGGTCAGTTCACCCGAACTACTCCTTACTGCTAATGTCATCAAACCGTTAATTCTATTAATTAATACACTGTTAAGAAAGGCTCCCTTCCAGGTTGCAAATGTACCGATTGACAATATGTTTGTTTTATTTTACTTAGGACAATGTTTTCTTTATATATTAGGCATAATAGCCTTTTTCATTTTAAAATATTTTGTTATTTTTATTTTCCTCTAGTGTCATGACTTCAGCAATTTCTATGAAAATCAATACATCGAAAATCTATACATCGATTTTTGCGGAAATCATTTCTTAAACGATCGATACAAACATCGATACAAAAATGGGATTAAAAAATTATTTTGAAAACTGGTGGAATTCAATACATGGGAACCAAAAACAAATCACTGATTCGATGCCTTAATTTTTTTTTCAACTTACTATGATAAATTATGGAATTCAGATCAGACAAATTCGAATTTCATATTTTATCATGCTTAAGACAGATATGATTCTACATCACTTATCTAGGCTGTATGATTCCAGTCGCGTCAGTTTCGGTCTTAAAACTGTGCGTGATGCCATCTTTTATGATATTTTATTTCAAAAAAAATTGTAAATGTTAATAACGAGTAAAATCGTCATCAAGTCCGACCCTACTCTAGATATGACACATGACACTTCCCCTATCTCTCTACCCTTCGACCTTTCACACCCCAAATTTAATAGCATCGATTTTCCTAATACACAAACATCCCTGCAAAATTTCAGAAATTTTCGACAAAGGACACAGGACATATTAAGCTTCACAGTGGTGAGCAAAATCGTGTCATCCACACACTAACACAATATCCATACATACAGAAAAATAAACCGGCAACGAGTTTCTCAACTTTCCCGGCGACATTTAAAATTTTGGTGGCACCATCTGTTATCATATTTTATTTAAAAACTTTTTATATTTTTAACTATTATAAAATGGCAAAAAGCTTAATTTCGAGGGAAAGAATGAGTTTTATATAAAAAAAAAAATTGTAAATGCTAATAACGAGTAAAGTCATTAAGTCCGACCTTGCGTGAGATACACACGACCTCCATTATCTCCCCACCCCTCGACCTTCACTCACCAAAATTTAATAGCATCAATCCCCCTAATAAACAAAGCTTTGTGCAAAATTTTAGGAATTTTCGACGAAAAGCACAAGAATTATTAAGCTTCAAACAGGCTTCAAAATCGTGCCCCATAAACACACACATCAATACAAACAGAAATTGCCCTTGAAATTTTTTGCATTTCTCGACGTTTCAAAGTGTTCTAAGTCCAAAAATGTAAAAATCTGGACGGTCATTTTTTGCCGGATCGCCATACTTTCCCACTGTTATACCGGTAACAGCTGGAAAAGTAAAAATCCGTCTTAATCCACTACTACTTGTAAAATATGTATAGTACAGTACGTAATGTAAATAATGTATAGTTTCATAAGTAATGGACGAAACTGTAGTCGACTTACAGCATAATGTATTGATGCTTGGTTACAAATCAATCACAGAATGATTATAAAATGATAATTTATCATTTTTATTAGTAAGTTTATAAGGTACTACTGGTGCGAATGTTCAATGTTTTTTTTCTTTTTCTTTGAGTCTATTATTTTCTATTGTTTAAATGTTGCCGGGAAAGTTACTCAACTCGCTGGATTTTTACAATTGTGATAATCCATTGTCTTAATTAATTACTGAAGTATTTGTGGCAGGTATGACCTGTAAATGATGTTCTTTACATCTACTACCATAAAAAAAAGTTGCTTATAGAAGATTTACGAATTAATAGGAATGTCCGGAAGCAAGCATGTGTCATGTAACAATATATATAATTATGATTGCTATTATGATTATAAAAATTAGTAGTTTAAATTTGATAAATTTGTATTCTTTATATATAAAATTTATAATCTATAATTTTGTTATGAGTTCATTAAACAAATAGAGAATAATTATGATGGTATAGAAAATCTGAATTTAGAATAGAGTTAGAATAAATAAAATAGAAAATTTTAAATTCTAAAACTTTAAACTTTTCATGTTTTTACTGCTGTACAACTTAACCAGAATGATGGCCAGATAACCTAGGTCACTGGTCAACCTACTGCTGCCATCTTGATGGGATCCAGGATTGAATCCAGATGGGTCAAAAAAGCCTCAGGAATTTTTCAGATGGCTGTCTGTCCAGATATGTTGGACTCCATTCCTCACTACTCAGCCACTCATTATGAGTTTGGTCTGGCCAAATCTATAATGGGCTTGCTAAAAGAGCCCTTTTAGTGCAGAAAGGACAGAAAGAGTTAAAAAAAAAAAAACTTAACCAGAAGGAAAAATTTTTCCTTTTTTGTTTCACATATGATATGAAAATATAAACAATAAATTTATCCATTTGCCAATATTACTCAATTTTATTATTTACATATTTGATCCAAATATTCTTCCAATAGAAATTAATTATTTTCAATCATAATTGCTTTTCATCTGACATTGACAATTAAGTTATAAGACATCTTCAGTAAACAATGTAACAAATTTATCATCCTTAAATAGATACATAAATAAGAAATATATATTCTGGCGTAATAAACATTAATATTGTGTTTTATTCCAAAGACACATGGCAAGTTTTTCATCAAATATCTTTATTAATTGAGTTGAAAAATGGTTTCAAAAACAAATCAAAGAAATAGATATGTAGATACTTAGACAGATAAATATAGGGGAGAGAAGGTTAAGAGTATACATTGCATGTCTCTCAAATTTGGCAACATTAACTGAAGAGTTTCTTGTACACACATTTTACTGTTGATGGCAAAGTGTGTCAAAGCTAACTTTTCTTGGTCTGTGAGTCGCCAGGATATTCATATCTTAGTAAACATTTTTTTTTGTGTAGAGGACGTGGTTGCTGTATCTTGAATGCAGTGTGTAGCGTCTGCGTTCGTCTACCAACTCGTTTTGGATTACACAGACGCTACACACTGCATTTTTTTTTGTGTTTCTGGAATTAATTTTGCAAAGTTAGGCCACAAGCTTTCTCAGTTTTGTTGCCTGGATTGTGAAAGTAAAGTGTGTGAAGGGATACAGATAGGTTGAAGCCAAAGTATGGGGTATCTTTTATGTTGGTCTTTGTCTGGAGTTGCATTCTATCTGCAAGTTTATGGAATTTTGTTTAGGAGGGTAAGAGTACTCGTAGTAGTGCTGCACAGTACTCAAGTTAGAGATTCTTTCAGGACCATATTAAAGCAAAAGGAAAAGGAGAAAACTGAAAAATAAAAAAGATAATAATAGACTTGAATTCATGAAAAATGACCAGCAATCTTCCACTTTGCAAGTTGGTAGGCCTAATGATATTTTCTGTCCTGGCTGCAAAGAATCTTTTGATGATGGCTGGGTATAATATGGACAATGTGCACAGTGGTAGCATGAGCAGTGTTCAGACTATGAAAGCATAGGTTGTTTCATTTGTTATAGCTATTAGTGTGTACTCTTAAGCGATAAGTTGCATACTCATTACCCTGCACTGGAGGTTAAGAGCATGCATTGGAATCTTCTTTTTTTAAATTTCTTGTCAAAACTATACTTGTTTTTTCTTTCTAACATAACCAAACAGAAAGATGTATATATGATATATATTCAGACAAAAATGTATTCTGATGAAACAATAAACACCTGAGAAATGCAAAAAATAACATAAGGTGTGTACTCTTTTCCATCTGTATATATTGCTGCCAGAGCAGCAATCTTAGCAATTAAATAGGAAGATTGTTATTTAATTATTGTACTAGTTTTATCTACTTGTTTATTATAATAATTAAGCAATTACCAAATTTGTAATAAAATTTTTCTGATTGGATTATCAATATAAAATGTATTAATTTTAAATTAGATGTAAAGTTAAAAATTTTATAAGCTTATATATTTACTCTATTTATTTTTATAAACTTTAAGATTATTTTTCAGGAACAGACAACTTTACTAAACAAGATAGAAAATATAACATACCATTTCTATTTTTCCAATATGAAAATGGAAATTTTGCAGATATATTTTTCTTAAATGAAGATAATAGCTCATTTATTAGGAATTTTAAACGACAGTTGGCTTATACATTGGTTACTTCTTTAAATGAAAATGTAACTAATGTTGCAGAAGAAACACCATATGGAAATCAAAAGATACATTATAAGTATGAAATAAAAATATTTTTATATCCTTTTAACAAGTATAGAAATCAATTGTTTTTGTTTTTTTACTAGCTCTGAATCTGCAGATGGTATTGCAAGGGAAATGTTTGGATGGAAATTTCAGAAACCGCTATCTTCAAATAAAATTTTAGTAAAACATTGGATAGATAGCAAAGATAATATTGAGTATGATCAAGAAAATACTTATGAATTTAATAATCAACACCAGTTTGATTTTTGGTATATACAACTTCAACTCTTTCGAAATGGGAAAATGATAGAAGCAAGTAAGTTATAGTTAATTTACATCATCTTATAAATTCTTTCCTCTCGAATAAATATATATTCCATTAATATATGACTTCCTTTGTCATTGAAGCTTTTTCAAGATAAGGTATCCATCCCCTTGTCATCAAAATAATTAAGACAAGCTGTATGGATTATTTACTAATTTGAGAGAATAATCTGAACCATAACATGGTTCTGGTAATTTTAAACTATCTAATGTAATGTTACAATATAAGGTATTCTGTCTTATGGCAATTTTTGAATAAAATGTTGGTTTTAACATTAAGACAGAATATGTTACATCATAACGTTACACTAGATCATTATATGGCAGCGAAGGGCAAGCAAAAGTTCAGTGGGAGCCGAAATGTAGGTTTTGCAAAATGCATGGGAACTGCAGTTCTGTACTTTATTCTGCACCGCAATTTTATTATATAATATAAATATAATATAAAACAAATATTTAATTTTTTAATAAACATATTTTCACAAAATTGTGGAAATAGAATTGTAAAAATAATAATAAAAAGCAGAAATTAACACTTTCAGCTAGAGCCGTATGTAACTCAAAAAGAGCTGCATTTGCCCATGTCTGTTATATGGTATGGAGAGCAATTAACTTTCTAATTTAAACTATAAATCCTTGATTATTTTCACTTACTTTTTTTGATTATAAAATGTTTTAATATAAATCTTATATTTTAAAAATTTATCATTTTTTTTTAATAGAAGGAAGATGTTCCCATGAATTTTCCAATTCATTGGGAAAACTTCAAATGCAATTTATAGATATTAATAAAGATGAATTAATAAGAGATTTTAAAGTCCAGTCAACATTTGTTTTCAAAGTAAGGAAAAGATTTTTAACTTAAATAAACAATGAAATTATATAGAAATGTTGAACTTGTTAAAGTAAAATATTAAAATGATTAAATATTTTATATATTAAATTTTCTGAAGTTCATAAATTCCTTAAAATTTTGGGTACTTTTTTATTTTTAAAATTCATTGACAGAAATTATTGTTTTAAATCATAATTACTTAAATCAATAAAATATTCAGTTGACATATAGTTAACATTGGCTATGCACATACCACACATCAGCAGTAGAGGGGATTTTAAGTATAGACAATTTAGAATTTTACTTAGGGCTTTACATTTTTTAGGAATCTCATATTTTTAATTAATGTAATTTAAAACATTTAAATTTAATTTAATTTAAAACATATGATCTCTACCTTCAAATTAGCAACGTATTGCCCCTATACATCATACTTTTCCTTTAGCAATTGAGTCTTGTCAGTCATCTAACTTCTTTTATGGGAAAATTTTTGAATTGAAATAACATGGCTTCCAGTTTGCATTGAAAGTTTGTATATAGTTAATCAGGATCTCCTGCCCATAAGGTTTCCATATCTGGTCTTGACTTTTATCTATCTAACTCTGTTCTTGAAATTAAGGAATGACAGTGAGAAATTTTAGGTCTACAATTTTTTCAAATTGAAGCCCAAGTAGGATCCTAGATCTTGTACATCATCATGCCATGTGACAGGAAAACCAGTGTGAAGGCTTTACATTATATAAGTGTATACAATGTAAAGCCTTCTCAAATCCAACTGGAGTTTTGCACAACCTAAACTTGCCATTATCAAATGGAAGTAAAATTTCTCATAATTTGTTACACAAATCATAATTATATACAGTACATGAAAGTAATTGTATATTTCAATACCAGTCTCTGAGAAGATACAAAGAGTTAAGCACTTGGCCACTAGTGGGCTCAAGTTTCAAATGTCAAAATATTATTTTGCAAGCCCTGTCCTCTTCACTATGAGAACTATTTTATACATAAGTAAAAATTGCTTGCCAAAAATACATCAATGTAGATACATAACAGAGAGGTGCAATTAACTTTCTAATTAAAAGTAGCTAAAAAACTGGCCATGTAATTGAAAATCTCCCTTTTTATTCATAATGGATAATCCTTTTGATCTTTACTTTCCCAGCTGATATAAAAGAGGGAAAGTATGGAAATCTGGCAAAAAAAACCCCCACCATATTTTTACATTTTTTGGACTCTGAACTCCTTGAAATGTTGATAAATGCAAAAAATTTTGGGTTTTTTTCTGTATGTATGAATGTTAGTGTGTGTGGAAGACACGATTTTGTTCACCTTCTTTGAAGCTTAATAACTCCTGTGCTTTTTGTCGAAAATTTCTGAAATTCTGCACAGAGGTTTGTTTATTAGGGGGATTGATGCTATTAAATTTTTGTGAGTAAAGTTCCAAGGGTGGGGAGATAATGGGGGTTGTGTGTATCTCAAGTAGGGTCAGATGTAATGATGATTTTACTCATTATTAGTATTTACAATTTATTATAAAACTCAACCCTACACTGAAAATTAAGCTTTTTGCCATTTTATAATAGTTAAAAATATAAAATGTTTTAAATAAAGTATGATAACAGATGGCATCACCAAAATTTTAAATGTTGCTGGGAAAGTTGAGCAAGTTGAGCTGTTGCTGGTTTATTGTCTGAGAGACAGCAGTTCAGTTTTGGAATTGCTTTTTTCTTTAGTAGGTAAAAGTATGATCAAATTATTTCAGTTGGTTCTAATTGATATGTATGGATATTAAATGATATGATTAACTCCAAAGCATTTAAAATATTACTAATATCTGTAACACATAAAATTAAATGATTTGAATAAATCATGTTCTGTCGATAAGTTCACTCATATCATCTTTCTATTATCCACTTAGTTCAATTTGTATATGTCAATGATGTCAATTGATAGTTTTATGGCATCCGTGCCACCGCCCAATATCTAATGTCAGATAACCGGACCTAGGAAGGATCTGCAGGTATAAATCACATTTATGGGTCCAATGGATTTAGACTCGAAACATCTTTATTAATTTTCCCGTTTATTGTTACAAAAGAATTGTTGCTTACATCAAGTTGATTTTTCAGTATTCGTTATACAAAGATGTTCTTTGTGATCTGGAGCAATAATCTGTAAGTCCTTTATGAGTTTGTATGTTGCCAGGTCTGGTGCAGAATTGTTGACAAGTTAGATGAAGAGGGTCACTTAGTTCTGGAAGCATTGATAATACATGGTTCGGGAAGAAGAGCTGTTTTTGAGATGAAAGGATGGAGAAGCACGGTTTTAGTTTTAGAAGCACGGTGGAGAAGAAGCACCATGACCTTGAGATATGGATTTATATAAATTTTAACCGTGGATTGAACATTTTAATTGGTCCCTAATTCTTCTCTCTTTTGCCCGATTGATCCTTTCTTTGTCTCCAGGTAGAACAAGACCCAATCGGGCTGTGAAAAAGATTGAATCTCAATCTCAGACAATGGGATGTTTAAATGAACCTTGGAACTTTTACTTGTATTTCTATAAGTTTTGTTTTCTCACTTATCAAAAATTTCTTATAAAAAGTTTCATGATAATTATTTATTGATCGAAATATTTTAGAGCACTCCGAGTTTGTTGTAATTTCGTCCTATTTACGAGCATCCAAGCCAAAGTTCGTCTTCCCAGTTTCACACATGAACTCAGGTTGTCTGACACTTACAATTTTTTTTTTCTTTCTTCTTTTCTTTCTTTGTATAGTATTTATCTAACAAAATTCCTTTCTGAAAATAAAGTTTTTGTGAGGGGTTCAGACCTCATACATATACATTTGGCACCTCACAAATGTATACATATATTCAATTTCAATTAGTTTGATCATTTCCTTAAAAAATATTTTACAACTTATTTATTTATATAAATATTTACTTAAAATTTATTTTTAAGAATTTCTATTCTCCTTTAATACAGAAGAAATACTTGTTTTAGTGTAAAACCTAAAATAAGTTTAGAAAACAAGTTCAAGTACATATTTGCATTTTCAAAGATGGATTCAATATCTTAAAACACTTGAATCTGTTGTTTTCTAAGTTTTTTAAGTTTTATGCCTGTTATGTATTGGAACACCATTGCCTCAGGGTTTGGGGTATGAAACATATCTGAGAAAGAGCCATCATCCTTTGTCTGGCCAATGTCTTGTGTATGAACGAAGTGCAATAAAAATTATTATAAGGTGTCATTGACTATTATATTCATATTAGTTAAGACAATAATGCTCCATTAAAACAAACATGTCTTCTGTTTTTTAAATTTGTCAAGTTGTTTATATATTTGTTTTAATAATAAAATCTATAAATCTTTATCTATAATTATTAATACAGTTCATCAAAATATATTTCTATATAATTTTTTAAAGAATAAGGCTTAAATTATCTATAATTAGGGTGGTCCAAAATTTATAAAATGTAGCTTTAAATACATATATGCCAATGGTTTTCAACCTTTTCTTTTGAGGATTGCATTACAATTGGTTTATTTTGATTTGTGTGACATGAAATTCAATAATTTATTTAAATTTAAAATAAATTATTGGATGTCAGAATATCCTGTGATGTTCCTAGCAGCTTATTGTAATATTCTAAGATGTTGTGAAAACCAGGTCAAAACCACTGATATATATATTAATTGAATTAAATTAATTAAAAGAATACAAAATTATTTACAACAAGATTAACATAACATTATCAACACAAAATTTATAATGCTCTATTCAAATTTCCAGTTGCGTAGCTACAAGAAACATTCAATTCCTGAAAATATAAGTATAAATTATTTAAAATCAGAATTTCAATTTTTATCCAGTTCATTATTACCAGAATATGAAACAGGCAAGTGATAAAATTTTCTTTCTTTTTTTAAATTTTTAAATTGAGCATTTATATTTTGAATATTTAAATTTTTAGAAACTGGAGCTGAATTATTTTTAAATACTTTTTATTTTCAATATAAAAAAGAAATTGAAAAGAAAATGAAAAAATTGTTTGAAACAAATTTTAGTGATTCATATGAATGTAAGTAATTTTGAAAAATATTTTATGAATGTATTATATCATCAGTATTTATTTTTTTGACACTTTAATAGTTTGAATTAATTTTTTATTACAATTTCTTACTATAAAAGAGATAAAATTGAAAATGTTTATAATAATGATTCTTCTTTTTTAACTTTATATCATACTAGCTGCAAGGACCCGCTTTGCTGGGCAAAAAGTAACGATAGTGAAGATTAAGATAATTACATTATAGCCAATCTTATCCGTTTTCACAGAATGCAAGAATTAGGTCCCCCGTTTCCAGACTAATTAGAGAATTTTTACGAGTCTAAAAATATGTTTGATTTCCCGCAAAAACGCAAAAAACCGCCTGTAAATCTTGCATGCCGCTTTATATTAACACTTCCTTTGTTACTCAACACTTCCATTGTTACACATCTTCGAAGTCAACCACTTTTAACCCCATATGCAAGAATTAGGTCCCCCGTTTCCAGACTAATTAGAGAATTTTTACGTCCAGTCAAATGAACTATTTTCAATTTGATCAATTTTCTGGAACGCTTACAATCATTCTATAATCGAACCAATTCAAATTAGAAAATTTTTAAAATTGAAATAGAAAATCTTCGAAGTCAACCACTTTAAGCCCCCATATCTCCCGCACCCTTATAGCTATCGAGACGCAACCACCATAGTGCACGAATGGAGACTTGGGGCTACTACCACATACAAACACCATTCATGTGCAATGTGTAGTTTTGGCTGAAAAGTGAAATATAGGGACACACACGTCTATTTTTATATATATATATATAGATTACCATTTTGAATCAATGGACACTTTAATCTTTAATCATTGTTTAAAAATGATCAATATCAGTATAATTTTAGACACAGTGTATAATTAAAATTTAATACTTTCCTCTTTTTTCTGTATTATTGATAAATACTAGAATATCTTCCAATATACAGTATACATAACATGCATAAAAATATATTACAGTTTCATTATAGACTTAATTAAAATTATACAAATTTTCAAAATGTATTTGTATAACTTTTTAGTTTTTTCAAATCCCAAGAAAATTCAAAAAATGTTTCCAAGAATTAAATTTGCTTTAACTTTCCTTCTGGGAAATTCTTAAAAATACACGAGATTTAAATGAAAAGATATGTTGTCTGCATTATTGCATAAAAAATTTATCAATGGACAACGAGCAAGACAAGTGACATGTCTCAGATTCAGATACACCAACTTTATATTTGAGCATGCATTTAGCATATATGATGCCTGGTCTACAAGTGTATTTGGTTACAAGTAACCAAACTTTTTTATATCGAACTAGTAGCCCGGGAAGCTCCCTAGTGGGCGTTCCTTACAAATTCCCACATAAAAATTCTTAGTCCACACCTGCCCTTACACTTAGTGACATTTTTTGTGTATTTCATTTTATTTTTATTTTAGTACATTATTTACATTGTTATTGTATTAGTTTGTGTAGTATATTTGTTTTATTTTATTATTTGTCATTTTATCCAGTATTTTGATTTTAACATAAAAGTATTCGAATGTTCTGATGTTTAAATATTAAGTTAAATATGTTCGAGAATACTTGCATCTGAAGATGGCTTATCATATTAGGTCGAAAATGTTAATGTTTCTTTAAATAAACGTTTTTCTCAGCATCAGGTATTGGATGATTTATTATATACAATTCTTTTATCTTAAAAACTAATGTTAATAAATCAATAGACAAACAGCGTACAGGATTTCTATATTAGAAAGTGAAGATATTGTTTATTCAAAGTAATTGAAATAAATAAGATTAATATACTTCAAAAATCTAGTTTTCTTTCCTTCATTTCTCCCGTCAAAAAACTTCCCTATAAACAAAATTTCTGGTAAAAAATGTATTATTATTCTGAATCAGTTTGTTCTGTTCTGATGTTTTCTGTATCCTGATCTTCACATCAGTTCCTCTCCTTACTCTGGAAAAAACAACGTAAAGTTGTCCATGTCCAAAAAATGGGTTCAGACAAAAAATTCCAACTTTGTCAAGAATATGTCCTTGTGACTTATTGATGGTCATCGCAAATGAAGCCTTCACAGGAAACTGTCTTTGTTTTAGGGTGAATGGGTAATCAGATCCATAACTTGTCAAATCAATTCGTGATATAAGGACTATCTGTCCTGATCAGACCCAGTAAGCACTTCAGCTTTGATGACATGGTCTCTCAAACTCACCACGACTAATCGAGTTCCATTACACAATCCCCTTTTTGTCTTAAGATTCCTCAGCAGCATATGATAATTCCAAGCCTCAAGTGGTCATGAGGGGGTAATCCGGATGCACATACGCTTTTCAGTTACTCGATTGGGTAATTCAATAGTTTCTGTAGCTTGTAGCTCATCATAGCTGTAATAAGTCTTTCCTCTGTACTCATGTAAAAGTCTCAAAACTTCGACATTGATTCTGTCCTATCGTCCAATCGTACGGTAGGAGACACAACGTACTTAAAAATAATTATTTAGTGTTATTAAACATTCTATAAATACTTTAAAATAGTTTAATTTGTTTATTTACCTTCGCTGGTAAATCTCGATATTAAATATATCCGCCATTTCTTCAACAAATTTCCCGTGAGTCAATGCGCGACGCAAGGTTAATCAAGGCATATAATAATTATTTATACCGTTCCGTGGTATAAATAATAAATTCCTATTACAAATAAAAGTAATTTATTGTTAATTTAAAATTATCGCTAGGGCTCCCCTAGTGGGCGTTTTAGGCATACCGTTACAACCTACAGATTACAGATATACAAATACGCGATCAATGGTTTATATATATATATAGATGGCAGAGTTACACAATTTGGCACATGCATCATTGAAGACATGTTTAACAGTTGTGAAATTTATCTTTTCTAATTCATAAAATCTTAACAGCATGGGCAGTGGCATAGCTACAAATTCAGCACCCTGGAGCAAGTAGAGTCGGTTTGCCCCTAGTTCCTCGGAAGAGGTCTCGCGAACTGTTTTGAAAATTTAATTTAAAAAAATATATTTAATTATTTCGATTTAAAACTTTACTCAGTAATAATTTATTTGAGATTTAAGACATTTCAGTAATAAGATATTTAATTTAATAAATGCAAATATAATAATAAAACAAAATATAATTTTTTAAGTACGGAATGCCTAATAATAATTACTACATATTCAAAAAAAACTGTATTGACAAAATGTATGCAAGTTTAGTTTTATAAGAAATACATAATAGCGAGGTTGCGGCTGAAGTTTTCATCTCTAAAACGTGAACGTTGAGCGCTGCTATCTTGTAAGTGGCGCTCGACGTTCGACGTTTTCGAGATGAAAACTTCAGCCGCAACCTCGCTAATAGTACATAAAAAAAAGCTTCAAAATTGTTGTTTTTTCGCTTTTTCGTTTGCAAATCGATCAATCACTTCCTCTAAGTCAAATCACAAGCTATTGTTTTATCAATTGTTATAGTTGCCAAAAAGCTATGACACTGTTGTGACATGCAGCTTCTTACAGATAGATTTCGATTACAGTTTTGAAAAACTTTTGTGAAAATTTCAGTTTTGAAAAACTTCGTTCTGCTGTCACTGTTGTCACTGGTAAAGTTAAAAAAAAAAAAAAAAGCTGCAGCGTGAATTAAAATTAGTTTGGAAACTTTGCATATAGAGGTTTAAGTGAGTATTAAAACACATTAAATCAAAGCAATTGAGGTCCAAAACTAGGCAAAATGTCGGAGGGATATGCTGATTGTAACAATTCTGATCTTTCCAGTGTATTTTTATCAGATGATGTGACAAGATGAGCACTTAAAAAGTGTACATAATTCTCGAATGGATACAATCTAATAGTTAATTGATTAATTATTGAATCCATTACTTTATAAAACACACTGACTTTAAAACATTGTTCACTGTTTTCAATGTGCTCATCTATCTGTAATTCATCAAAGAAGTTTTTCACACAATGCAATCTTTTTTGGAAAAAACAGATTCAATATTCCATATAGATGATAACTCAAAGGCATTGTTTTTAACAAACTCCCAATGATTCTTTAAGTCCTAAAATTGGGTTAGGAGTGATGAAAGCATTTCAGCAGATTTCTCTATATCTTCATGAGCATCTTGCAGCATTTTTAAAACTGTATTAATCGGTTTGAGTATATTACTTTGTACTATTATCAAAATAATAGTTGAAAATTGTTTGAAATAATTAATCAAATTTTTAGCTTCAAGTTGATTATCATAATTTTTTCTATTTAATGGTAATTATGTCAATATTTTAATTACAACAAAATAATGAGAATGTAATGCATCAAGAGCATTAATACGGGAAGACATCATGTTGGAGAAACTCTTCAACGTTTTTGCTAAGTTGGTTTGGTTCGTTTCCATTAACATTGCCCAATGCCTAACAGAACTGAAAAAAAACAAAAAATTTTTCTAACTGTTCATAAAACTGACTTCTTGTACCTTGTACCTTCACTGTCATTGATCACTAAATTCCAATTATGAGAACAGCAATGTACAAATCTGGCAGTGGAATTTTGTTGTTTAATTCTTGCTTGCAACCCCAAATAGGTACCACTCATATTCACAACCCTGTCATAACCTTGACGCAATTTTGATAGATTGGTGAAATTTTCAATACATTTTCAAACTGTTGTTTCTAATCCTTGTGATGTTTGATCAGTAACCTGAATAAAATCCACAAAACGTTTCCTTTATTTGCATCTCAATTAGGTTTTTATTTTCATCTTTTTTTATTAAAACATAACGGAATATGATACTTAGCTGATCGAGTTTTGATAGATCTTGTGTTGTATCTGTTATTACTGTTATGAAAGTGGCCTCTTCCATTTCACTTTTAATTTGGACATTAATTTCATGTGCAATCAAATTAATTAATTCATTTTGTATATCCAGACTCAAGTAATTGGTACTGCCTTTGGGTTTCTTTAATAGATCTGCTAAAACAC